AATAAGATGTCCCTATCAATCAAACAAGTGGACTTTAAATTCTCAACCAATGATCATTAACTTGGTCATCGCTAATCACTAACCACGTCATCAATAATCGTAATCCTAGACCCGTACTTGATTTTGTGATTTGACCATCCAACTTTTTTCAAACCCTCCGTTTTCGAGCTAACTTTGTCAATTTCAAACAGGTTCCATGGAAAGTGGAAAGGTAAACTGAGATATGTCTGGTTTAAGCCTAGCTAGCTAGTACGAAAATTTCAACATTCAATGTCCAGATGATAGCAACCTCATCTCGCTGTGGAGTAGCTGGTGCAACTCCTTAATTGCTAGCTGTGGAAAAATGCGACTTTGACCAAACGCCCATAAAAAAGTCACGTCATAATAGAATGTTTACATAATTGTTTGTGGATGTGCAAGTTTCCATGTGTTCATTGAAAATTTAATTATGAAGAGATCATTCTTAACCCTAAAAAACTGCGTGGAAATTGTTTTTTTTTTAATACCGGATAATTATATGAATAGTCTCAATATTATCAAAAAAAAAAAAAACAAATAGTATCTATATGATTATTAAATTTTTAGAAAATTTCAATCAAATATTTGTATTTATTTTTAAAATTTTTCGTCTATTTCCATCTAATTTGTGGTGCTTTTTTAATTAAAAAAAAACATCATTTTGTAGGAAACTTAAATTTTTTTCTTAATGGTTCTAACAAAAGTCTTTATTTGAGAAATTACAATAATATAGTGGTTAAATTGATACAAAAAATGAAAATGAAAATAATAATAAAGTAATTACAATCCAACTTGTTTACCTGCTTAATCTGATCCGATTGCTAGGTCTAATGTGATTTACACTGATAGTATGAAAATTTCAACAATGAATTCCAAATGATAGCAACCTAAATCCGTCGTGCATTAAATGATGTAAGGTAAGATCAGTTACTAGCTATTGAATACTGTGACTTTGACCAAGTGCCAGTGTTGAATTTTGGAAAGGTTTGCTTGCCAACAATTTTCAAATCACGTTTAATAGATTGGAAAGGTTTGGATGACTGATCATATTTTCTCTTCACAGTTGATTTTGGATCATTGGTTATTATAAAATACACAAATCTTCTTCTTTCTTATCCTTTTCTTCTTTTCTTTTTATTTTTTCCTCCTCGATGGATATCCTTTCCTCCGGGTTAGAAACTTAGAATGTTTTAAGCACTGACATGCTAATTTACGATAGTTCACAGATGTTTTATATGTCGCCATTGAATTGTTTTTCGAATTAGTTGAATGGTCGTCTCATACGGAGGTAAATGTATTTTCTGATTTGAATCGAGCTCTACCATAAATTAGCTAGTTTTCTAGAAAATCCAAATTAAGTTAACATTAGCGGCATTCAAATAATTGGTTCGACTAGAAGTTTAATCTCATGATTAAAAAGGTATGCTTTTTTGTTGCTTACGTACACTTCAGACTAAAGATATAAAATTCTCTTAAACTTTTTAGTTCGGATATAGAAACCTAATATTTGATAAAATTGAATAAATAGAATTAAATTTAGTTAATATTAAAGTTGAATTGAGGATAGCATAACAATACTAATAATTAGCTAAGAAAAATCATCTATTTAGTGTTTGAATTTTTTAGATAAACAACTTAATTTGTCATTACATAATAGCTTAAATCTTCTATTTATCGTTACGTTTCTAATTACATCTTTTATATTTTTTTAATAATATTTAAGTTTTTAATATATCTTTCAGATCAATTTTTTTTTCCACTAGTAAAAATTTTTTTTGTTGAAATACTACTAGCTGAAATGCATAATAATAATAATAATAATAATCATCTAAAGACTTTAAAAATGAAACATACAGATCATGTGAATTGCTTTGTTTTTTTTTTTTTTTTATCAAGAGCATTTCAATTATAAAATTTACCAAAGATAAAAAATAATCAAAATGACATGTTAGAGATTTTAACATTATTCAACAACATAATATATACAATTAGAAATATAGTGATGGATTAAAAACTCAAATTATTATATAATGATAGATTTATATTTACTTTTTCTTTTTAAGTGCGTAAATTTCAAGTTTTTCTCTTAGATTTGATCTACTATGAGCTAACATGGTCATAGATTGACATGAGCTAGGCACAGTGATATATTCACTTATATGAATGAAATGCTATCATTGTACGTATATACCTTTTTATTTATTTATTTGAGCGTTTTTATTGTTATTTTTTCTGTTTCAGTGCTTGAATTTTTTAAAATTAATTGATTAATATTTCTACATAAAACCATTAATTAATTAGTGATATTTTTATTAAATCATATATAATCATAAGAATTCGCTGAGCATTTGGGTTGGACATCTAACAATTCCTGGAACAACTTAAAAAAAAAAAAAGTACTCAAGATGGAGGTGGATTGGTTTAAGTTATCACAACACATCCTAATTAGCACGTTCTTATAATTTATATTGGGTTATTCCACCGAAAATAATTTTTTTATAACAACAAAAATTATTATTGGAATATACTACTTAGAAGTTAGAAATAATTGCGCCTGCCTAAAGTTGAGTTCGGCAGCAATGAAATTTGGGCTTAATTATGAGTTGTGAGCATAGAAGGGGGCAAACAATAAAACTTGTGTTTCGTATTTTTGTGATTAAAAAGAAGAAATCCAACAATCAGTACCATATTTTTTTTGAAAATTACTTTGTTTGTTTCTGAAATTTTGATTACTTTTTCATAGTTACTAAAATAATAAAAAATAAATTTTATGTTTTTGTGTTTACCTTTTTTTTTTTTTTTGAAAAAATAGAAGACGAAAATAATGCCAAAGAATCTTAAAATTAACCAGATTCCTCTATCTCTCACTCATCATAGAAGAATAAATGAATGTTTTATGGGATTAATCCATGTCTGATTCCTAGTTAGCAAGTGGAAGTGTGCCTCTTAAAAAGCCACGTATAATGCTTTCTCTAGCTCTTGCACCAGACGAGCCAATAACTTTCAAGTATCTCTCAAACTCTACGCAAATCTTTTGAATACATGGTCAATCTCAAATGGATACGTCCAAAAATGGACATAAGCCCATACCATTCTTGACGTAGCCAAATAACCAATATCCGTGAGAATATTGGTCAACCCTAAAAGTCATATGTATGCATAAAGCTTTCAGCATTTGAATTCATCAATATTCAAGGAAGTCAAAATGCCAACGAAAGCGAGCACACACCTCGATCTCTAACCGCAGGCCCCGCAGCATTAAATATAAAATACACATGCATTTATCTTGGACATTAATTTACAAGTCGTACCATAAAAAACTACCCGATTAAGTTATGCATAGAGACAAGAACAAGTCGCTTGGAAGACCTGTTCATATTGTATAGGAAGATTTTGACTAATCAGGATATTTAATGCAAAACCTTGTTTACAGGTTCATATGATTTGGTTTCATTGACATTGTTTATTGCTTTAAGGTTCAACTTCTAGCGGCTGAACCAAAAAATATATATTTACGTGTATAGAGAGAGAGTTTTACTTTTGCTGGTGATGCTATTGTTTATCACTCGCAGCCCGGCTGATATCTTTCTTAAGATTCATAGATACTTAAAATAATAATAATAATAAAAAGAAATATTTCTCGAGGACATGGTTTGTCTGGTTGCGGTCTTGTTTGTGAAGCATTTTCTATATATATATATAACGTGTAACTATCCTTGAGGTTGAAAGTTAAAAGTAAAACCTTTTTTTTTTTTTTAATGAAACTGAGACTAATTAAAACCCTTGACGAATTTCTAACTTCTAAAAGGATGTCAACCCTTGAGTTAAAAAAAGATTACCTGTAATTGATGTGAATTGAGGGCTAATTTTCATTTTTAATAAATAAATTTAAAGGAGACATATTTCAGGGATAAGCAGATGCAACCGTGAACTAATATTATAGAAAAAGAAAAGAGGGGAAAAAAAGATCAATAGTGGAGTTAAATGGTAAAAGGAATTAAACAGTAAATATTAATTGCTTTGCTCGTCGAGTTTGTAGAACTTAAAATTTACACGTGGCAGTTGGTTTGGGGAGAGAAAAAAGGAAAAGAAATAAAATTTGAATGATATCGAGTGAAGAGTATCCAGAGAATTAACGCAGTGTTAACATCCAAGAAAAATCTACGTGATTTTAGATATCATGCCGCCCTTAGCTGCCACGCTCTCTTGGTCCATCCGTTTTTTTTTTTCAGCGTATATATTTGAAGAAGAACTGATCAGCTCAAATTTGACCTAAGTAATTCCAAATTCTGTTTTTTTTTTTTTTTTTTTCCCGAAAGTTATATTCCAAATTCTTAATCGCACTTGTTAAGAAAAAAATATTAAACCACCACGGTTACCAACTTAGTATTAATTCAGATGATTTTATGCATCGCACAATTTTTTTAGAATAATTCTCGTCATGCCGATAAACACCCGTACTAAAATGCACGATAATAATAAAAAAATTATTACGATAATTATGAAATGGAATAGGTGATGGAACATTTGAACAAAAAAATAAGTAAACAAATAGAAAACCAATAATATTACACAGCATCCCTTAGTAAAAATGTTGGACTCTAGAAATAATATAATTATTATGACTCACAATTATTTTTGCTTTTGTGATTAAGTAATAGTATTCAATTGGTGTTTATGCGTTAAATTTGCTTTCATCACAGGCCATGTGCACGTAGGATTAGAAAAGCTATGAGATTTTTTAGTCCTTGGAACATTATTCCATCTGGCTTTGAGCTTTTAATTGCCTTTCTATAAAGGCACGCTTGCACTAAAAAAATCGAAACTTAATAAAGTACTCATCACGCTTGCATTTTAAATGATGATATAAATATTATTGCGTCTGAATAATTATTTTTTTCCCTCAATTTCTATATATACACAGAAAATTCTCAAGTAAATTCGGAAGACCAAAAAAAAAAAAAACGACTATTCAATTCAAGTCAAACAACCATTAACTGGGGAAATCCCAATGCAGGGTGAGGAGATAACGGAGACAACGGGGGCACATTAAAGACATCCTTCGTATCCCCACAATCCCAAACAGCCGTCCAACTTGACGGCGTCAACGGAATATCCCTCTCAGGTTCCTCTCTCTTAACCACCGTCATCGTCACCCTCTTCCCATCCCTTCTTTCTTCCACGTCACCCTCTCTACTTCTTTTCCTTTCACTTTCCTCGTTGGCGCGTACATGACACCTACCAGCTTCTAATGGGAAATTGAGAATCGCTTTCGACCCACGCAGCTTGAAGGCAGCTCGATCATAGGCTTTGGCAGCTTCCAGGGCTGTATCGAAGGTTCCTAGCCACACACGTGAACCTCTCCGGTTCGGGTCCCGGATCTCTGCTGCATACTTGCCCCATGGCCTGTGTCGGACTCCTCTGTAATGCTTTTTTGCTTCAACAGCAACACTAGAATTATCCTTCACGCGTTGCGGGTGCGGGTTAGAAAACAGGATCCATTCGGGTTTTTTGTTAGGTAGCGATATTTTCAAAGACGGTTTCCGAGCTGTTTGAACTTGAGGCTTTGATTCTTCATAGAAGAAACTGTTGCTTGGTTGAGAAACAATTTTTGGTTTGGATTCAAATTCGAAATTCTGATGAATTTGAGGTTTGAGCTCAAATTCGAAGAGGTCACTGTTGCTGCTGCTGCTGCTTGATTGGAAATTGATGTGGGAGGTTGAATTGCGGGGTTTTGGCGTTGAGAGATCAATGATTTCAGGTTTAGTTTCAAATTCGAAGATATTGCTCTTGTTTTCTTGAGCAGGATTGAAAACGGAAGTGAATTCGAAGAAATCAGCATCAAGAATGTTGAAAAAATCAGGAATTGCCGTGGACGATGCGGCACTTGAAGTCTTGGAGCAGCTAGTGGTCTCACACTGTGAGGAAGTAGAGATATCAGCATTTGTAAGAAATTGAGGCTGGTCAAAATCGTAAAAAGAAGTGGAAGAGGCAGCAACAGGTGAAAGAAGATCATCAAGCAAGTGATGCTTGATGAACTCTAAGGCTGATGATACTTGCTGAGTTTGATCTGTTGCCATATTTTGCAGAACTTGATCAAGCAGAGCTTCAAAATTTCAAAGAACAAGTAGAAGAGGTTAAGGAACTTTTAATTTCTAAAGTATTATTACTCTCTTGCCAGAGACCTTTTTTTTTTTCCCCCGAAAAAGAGATGATTGTGTTTTGAAATGTTCAGGGAGATGAGGATGGGAGTGGAAGGAGTAGTGGAAAGGTACATATATATGGTTGGAGATGAATGTGTTATAGCATGTCAAATTGAAATGTCGACTTTTTCCACGGAGCTTCTTTGACCGAAGAAGGAAGCCTCCTATTCCCGTTTTGCTGTCTCTATCCATTTCAACGATTTAAGAGCTTTGATTTTGAACCGTTGGATTGGGTTGAAGATTGTGGTCAAAGGGACAATCTGATGGCTAACGTTTAAACTACAAACTGTTTGTTAACTTTTGTTGTCGTCTTCTGCTATTATTGATATTTTGAATTTCCCAAGGACGTTTTATCTATCTGCATTTTGTGTTTCCTGGCTGCTTCCAAGAGTGCACGAACGGGTGATGAAAGTGGGCGTAAGAGGGGGATGAAAAACTACTCTAAAATGCATTGCATTATGAGGAAGAATGGGATAAAATAATAAAGTAATGTATTAAATATTGGTGAATTATGGATACGTTGTATGAGGAAAGCATGAGCTATGTTTTGGCCTTAGAATTTTGAATTAAAATGCAAAGCTTACAGCCTCCTTTAGGATTGGACTTATATTGAAAGATTCTATTTGTAAAGAAACTCAGAATTTGCTTACAGCTTGCAAACATGATCCTTATGTAAGAGGATGATAAAAAAAAATTCAAGTTCGAGCCTTGTGAAAGATTAAGTAAATGGTAACTTAGTTTTTTTTTTTTTGGTAAAACAAATTAAATTTTAATTTTAAAAACTAATTAATTAGTTTTTATGTTTTTAAATATATTTATATCGTATTTTTTTCACTTATTTTTTCAATTTATTTTGTTTTTTATGAAAAAAGAAAAAAGTAATAATATGAAAAAATTATGAGAAAATAATATATTTTTAAAACAAAAATAATATTAAATATTATTCATAATCAATATTAGTTAAAAATTTAATTAATTATTTTTGAAACAAAAGAAACTATTTAATTCATTTTGTAAAACTAAATGTACTAATTTATAATTTACTCTTGAAAAATTAGATTTTTATTGAAAAAATTGCTCTTCTTGAGGTAACTTTTGATTTGGTCTTCCGATATCTGAACACCAAGTATATCCGTTATACCTGTATAACCAATCAACATTAACTGCCTTTCGAAGAAAAATACCAAAGCTTAAAAAAAGAAGAAGAAGAAAATCTTTTTTTTTTTTTTTTTTTGGCCCTATAATCCTTTTGTTTGACGGAAGAAGGTGTTTAAAGCATCTTTCTGCATGTCAATTCGTATAAATTCATTTGAAGCAATGGTCGATTTGATTGGCACACCTCTGATAATTTTTTTCTAATTTCAAACTTTAAATTATAAATTACATAATATTTTAATATTTGTCATGAAAAAATGATAATAATAATAAAATTGAAGAAAAAGATAATAAGAAAATAATTTTATTATAAAATAAAGCGAATACAAGTGATAAAAACTCAAAATAATTCTCTCAATCTCTACAAAACACATCTACACAAACTAATGAATAATCAAACTTCTTTATAGAGTTTAAGATTAAAAAGATAATTGGAAGGAACTACAAATCATTAAAAGATGTATAAGTGATTGAATGAATTGCATCTCCTTTAAAATTTTTCATATTGAATGGTGAATTTAATCATATGAGTAATAAAAATATGAATTGAATCATTTAAAACATCTTTTTGTATGTTAATTCGTATAAATTCATTTGAAGTAATGGTCGATTTGATTGGCACGCCTTGGATAATTTTTTTTTTCAATTTCAAACTTTAAATTATAAATTACAAAATATTTTAATAGATGTTATAAAAAAATGATAATAATAATGAAATTGAATAAAGAGATAATAAGAAAATGAAATTATTATGAAATAAAACAAATACAAGTGATAAGAACTCCAAATAATTCTCTCAATCTCCACAAAACACATCTACACAAACTAATAAACAATCAAACTTATTTATAGGCTTTATAAGATTAGGAAGATAATTGAAAAAAATTACGAATTATTAAAAGATGCATAAATAATTTAATAAATTGCATCTACTTTTAAATTTCTCATATTGAATGGTGAATTGAATCATATGAGTAGTGAAAATATGAAATGATCATGAATATTCATTATTTCATAACATTCCCTTTTGAATGTCTATCGTATAAGAAACATATCTCGTTAAAACCTTACTAGAAAAGAACCTAGTGGAAAAAAATTTCGGTGAAGAAAAAATAGTATAATATTACTCGTACACATTAATCTCTATGTTGGGCTATTCTGTTGAGAATATTATTTAAGATCTTTAAGACAATGCATCTAAATTTTGCATACTATTTTCTCAAAAGTTGTGATAAACAATGCCTTAATGAATAAGCTCTGTCGGACTATCATTTTGATGCCTTCTTCCTTTAATTGAATTATACAAACAATATTATCTTCATATGATATTGTTAGAATTTCTTTGTTGATAGATAAACCATATGTCTCTCGGATATGATAGGTCATTGATCTTAGCCAAACACATTCTCAATTTGCCTCATAAATTGATATTTCTACATAGTTTAAATAGATAACGACTACACTTTTCTTCATAGAACGTCATAATATGATCGTATTACGATGTGTAAATACATAACCCGTTTGTGATCGAATATTTTATGGATAAGATAAATAACTTGTATTTGCATAACCGAGTTAATCATGTTTTTGATTTACTAGAGTAAAATAAACCCATATTGATTATTCCTCGAAGATAACATAGTATATGTTTAATTCTATTCCAATGTTTTTGTATTAGAGTAGAACTATATCTTGCTAATAAATTTATAGAAAATACTATATCATGTCGGATATTATTTGCAAGATATATTGATGCATCTATAACACCGAGATATGATACTTTAGGACCAAGTAATTCTTCATTATCTTCTTGAGATCGAAAAGAGTCGTTTTGGATATTAAGTGAACGAACTACTATTAGGCTAATTAATGGATGAGCTTTATATAGAATTATTGTAGAATTTTTTCTATATAAATTGATTGATGAATAAAAATCTTATTCTCTAAGTGCTTGAACCGCAAGTCGAGATAAAATTTCGTTCTCCTAAGGTATTCACATCAAATTTTCTTTTTAGATAACTTGTAGTACTTGAAATCTCTTTAAGAGTTTCAATAATATTTAAGTCATCAATATATAAAACAATTATCACAAACTCTTTTTTTGAATAAAAACACATGAACAAATAGGGTTATTTTTATAACTTTTTTCAATAAATATTCATCGAAGTGATTATACCACATGCACATATGTTAGTAATAAAGAGTAGATATTGAAAAATAAAAAAATAGATATAAAAAGTAAAGTATAAATTAAATTTTTAAAAACTTAAAAATACTAAAATAAACGTTAAAACAATCTTGATAGAGATCTCTATAATTTAATGAAATTTTAATAATTCTTTAGAAAAACACATTACTTGATATTAATGGTTCTACAAAGAATGGAATTTAACTAAAAAAAGATATAAATTAAAAGGAAACTAGTTGGCTCTTGGCATTCGTCGAGGGTCAAGCAAAATAAGTTTATTTTACTTTAATAGCTTGTACTATGCTGGCATGCAACTAAAATATATAAAATTAAAGATAAAATAGTTTTTTTTACCTAATTTTATAATTTTTAATCAAAATATTATATTTAATTTATTCTTCTATGTGTTTTTCATAACTTCTATATTTAAAAAATATGATACATTCTTATTCATTTATTCTTAAATAAAAATTTTTAATAATCTAAATAGAAAATTTAATATAAAATTTTAAAAATTTTTTGAACAAATTTTTTTTTCATCGGATTGTATCAAAAATGTATATTTGATATATATATACACACACAAAATAATAAGTAATATTAGTATAACAATATTTGAATTATTAGGTGGTTCATTGAAAATATTATTTAACTTATTTTATTTAAAAAATTAACAATAAATAGTTGGTGTTATGTATGTAGATGCATAATTAATTTTTAATAAAACTAATGATCTTAATTTAATTTTTTTATACATCGTGATCATACTTAGAGGGTCAAAGTATACATTATAAATTGAAAAATATATATATATTTTTTAAAAAAATTAAGTTATTAGAAATATATTGAAGTTAATAAACCAAAATAAAACCAACCATAAAATTGATTCTAATAAATTTTGATTATATAAAGAATAATTAAATAAAACACATGAATTCTGTTTTTAGTTAATTATTTATTTAAAACATAATTAAAAAATCACATATAGAGGAAAAATATTATATTTATTAATAAATAAATTTATATAAAAAATAAGACGGAAGATAATTTTCATAAGAAATGACAAATTAAAAATATCAATTTTAAACAATAAAAGTAATATACTTCGATATATATGTTCATGAAAAAATATATGAAATAATAATTTTTTTTTATATTTTTTTAACTCAATTCAATAAAAAAAAAGTATTGAAAGAAAAGCCAATAAATAAATTTATTTGTTTATTTAAAAATGCTTCAAAAATCAATACATGAAAGAAAATAAATTATATTATTAAAAAATAAAATTAAATAAAAAAGAAGAATAAAAAACAAGTTTAAATATAACTTTGACAAAAAATAATAAATTAAAGAGATCAATTTTAAATAATACGAATAATATGATGCAATATATATATATATATATATATGCATGGAAAACTACGAAAACAATAGAAAAAAAAAGCCTAGTCCATCTAGGGACCAAAAACATATTTTAAAAACATTAGGGATCAAAATGAAACATAAAGTAAAATTTATATATGAATGCCCAAAA